AAAATAGGATGATGTCTATAGTGCCACTTTTAGGAGAAACGAAGAGAGACAACTTAAAATGCAGCTTGATGTTTTATGTGCTTCTATAAAACGAACACATGCATCGGAATATCCAAAAAAAACGAGCTGCATGCAGAAATGGGAACATGCAGTGGTGGGTGACAACGAGTAACAGGCGACCCGTGAGACGACAGGAGAACAGACATGCCGAAAACGCACTTGATGGTGTGGTCAAGAAAGGCACTAAATTCCGAGGAGGTGGACGATTCCAGTTGGCCTAAAAAGTAGGTTTACGAGAACCATCTACGTTAAGAAAAGAAATGACTTTCGGACGTTAAAAATAATCACGGTCAACGGATAAAAGATATTCTTTGAAACAAGTGATGATTCGTATCTGCCGCCAATCAAAGTACATAGAATCACGAAAAAGACTGATGAAGCCGCAGAATATATCTAGAATCTAATTGGAAATCTAAAATGGGTAGTCACCCTAGTGACGTATTTTGGAATACGTGAAGCAGTAGAAGCAAGAAAATTGGCTACCAACGCAGATTTAAGTAGCGCCCCTATATGTTTTGCGTACGTGCCGACAACATAGCCCAAACCTTTGACCCAAAACAAAAGTCGAAAGACGTCAACAAGGAACACTCTCTCGCGAGAAGACAACACGAAGTACATAAGAGACGGTTGCATTAGTTTATAAAGCCCTCCTACACAATGACCTTGAAACCGTAAAGGTGTAAAACTGTCATTGGCTGAAGCAAGATCACGAACATGGGACAAGCGAATCATTTTCTAGCCGGAATACTGAAGGCTCTATTCGATCGAGTTCGTTAGGGTCTGCCTCCGATAACATCTAAACCATTTTGAATGAATCGCAAAGATTTCAGTTGGGGTTCATCTGCATCGGAATCACTGACTTCCGGCGTGATTCAGAGATCAATTGAGCTATGCTGGGTGGTGCTGCTTCGCACCTTCAGAGTCAATCATACCAGATTGATCAATAGTTAGAGGCCAGACAAACTCAGCCTCCTGTACATCCAGGTTGAGGGTTGAAATTAGGGTGGCTCCTTATTCCATAAAACGGACTCATTGTAGCCCAACGGCAAACCCGCTGCTTTGCGGTCAGCTTTCTGAACCAAAGGCTTTGGTTGAGAACCCAAATCGTTCTCCTGTCTAGGCCTGGGCAACCTGACAGTATTCTGCCCACGCAATACAATGAATTTGTCCCCAAACAGTTTCTTGATGCTCTGGCCACAGCAGAGGATAATGAACGGTACCCTATCTGCTGTATCGATCAGGTCGGATAGGGTTTGGATGCTACTGCTCAAGCCTACCCATCTTCTTATGCCCCTTCTTACGCTTTTTCACTTACTGTCACGTTCCAACTTCACTTTTATCCCCCTCTGTTTACAACCCCCCAGTTGTTGGCCCTCCCTCACCTTGCTTTAATAGACTTTTATCCTTTAGTTTCAACTCACATGTGAATGCGCAGCGCTATTCCTGCCCTGTCGACAAGCCCATGTCCAAGCAAGCGGTTAAGCCCAGTTCATCGGCTTCCATTTGGAGCCCTCGATTAGACTTCAGATTGACATGTCTCAATGTTCGCACATTGCTTCAGATCGGTCAACCAGCAGCATTTGCGCGAACATTAAAGACCCTCTCGATCGATATCTGCTGCTTATCGACCAGCATGCAAGATTCGAGCTCAGTGCTCACTTGGCGATCCTCTTCAGGTGACACCAGCAGCACTTTCTCATTGTGCCTATCCGGTGACGATACAGCTTCGGACACCGGCCAAGCCGGTGCTGGTATTGCTCTGAGTCCCCGGGCTAAAGCTGCTCTGGTTGATTGGATTCCAAGCAGTAGCCGATTGTGTGCGGTGAAAGCTTCGAAACCGCATGGGACTAACAGGTGTCTATTCGTTATCGCTGCCTACGAACCCACAAACTCTAGCGATGACTCGATAAAAGACGATTTCCATCGCCAACTAGAAGCGAGCTCCTTCTCCACAGAAGAAGCTCGGACACTGTAGTGCTGGCTGGGGATCGGAACGCTCAAGTTGGGAGATTATCAAGTGATGAACTGCATCTAGGAAGCCAACATGGTGTAGGCTCCCGTAATGATAACGGTGAGCGGTTACTTCATTTGTGTGAGGATGCTCGCTTATTTCTTGCGAGCACTAATTTCCGACACAGCACCCGCCGGAAGGTGACTTGGCGCCCACCAGCCTCGAACATGCCTTGGACGCAGATCGATCACATTGCTATTAGTCACCACCGGAGAGGCTGCGTCCAGAACTGTCGCTCGATTTGGAGCACATGTGTAGACAGCGACCATGCACTTGTATGTGCTGACCTGCGGATGCGCTTTGCCGGACGACCACGACGACGCTGTGACCGCATTGACATCAGCCAACTTGCGAAGCCAGCTATTCTGAACGCCTATCAAACTACGCTGTCATGCGAGTCGAGTAAGCGCTCACTGGTCTCATATTCACCAGACCTTACTAGCAGCAGGCAAATACTCATGTGGTATGTCTAGTAGCCAACATGGATACTGGGTCTCTTTGCGATCTCTGGAATTTATCGACGCTCGCCGGCATATTCCGGCTGGAAGCGAACACAATGAAATTGGCAAAGAACTCCGGGCAAGACTTCATGCTAGCCTGAAGAGGCCGCGAATCTTGGTGGTCTCATCGTGAATATATATATATATATATATATATATATATATATATATATATATATATATATATATATATGCCCCATGCTGAGGCTGAGGTTGCATTTTTGATGATTCTTCACCGCAGTTGGGCTAAACCAACTTACACATAAAACTAGGTGTTTTTAAGCTGGATAAATATAATTCCACTTTATTTGGTTTGTTCTGCCTACCTGAATAAGGTTCTATTAACTGGCCACCTTGCTTACGCCAATTGCGCTTATCTTCGGTAATCTTATTGCGTTTGTAGCATTTGTAAGTAATCTGTGGACCTTTCTTACGTATTGCGGATTCGTTGCTAACCAACTTACTTCATATGATAATTTAGGGAAGAGTTATGCCACCGTATCTGTATGCATTACTGGATTTATTTTATTTCAGCTTGTCGTTTCAAGTGAATGGCTGTTGATTGATATCCCACGTGTAGCTGCGCTTGATGTGCATGTTGACAAGGTGCCTACCTCGTCCACACTGGCTCCAGGAGACAGTTGGTCGTTGTTGGAGGGGATGGGGTGCACGGTCCTTGTGGCCGTGTTAGGAGCAAAGAGCGGTTCCATGCACTCAGTGTGGAGCGGAATACGGTCCAGCCACCGCCTTGTGTGCGCTTGATTCCCAAATACAGTGTGCTTGTGTTTGCCTGTGAAGGAGTGTGGGCCGGCTCCGTTGATGAAACGTGGCTCCCATCCACATGCCTCCCGGTCTTATTCCTTCGGGTTTACGCTAGATATGGGGTGTGTGGATGGAGCTGTGGGTGGTGCAGCGCAAGCCATCCATGGTCCCTCTGTAGGCGCAGGCGTCCTGTGGCTTGCCACAGTGACAGGCAAATCCGATACCGGATGCCGCCATATATATATATATATATATATATATATATATATATATATATATATATATATATATACTTTATATATATATATATATATATATATATATATATATATATATATATATATATATATATATATGATATATATATAGAGAGAGAGAGAGAGAGAGAGAGAGAGGCGACTTTGCAGTATTCCATTTCGCAGGCAGCCGCCGGTGGCTTCATGACATATTAACATCGGCAGGAGATAACAGCGTACCGCCGAGAATTTACCTGAACCGAGTCTGAGTTAACTTTGCCAGCAGTAGCTACAACGTTCGCAGTCATCGGCGATCGAGGCAACTGGGTCCAGTACCGGTCGGGACTGCTTCAATATAACGATTAAGACATCCCGAATTACTTGAAGAACGGTCTGTGTGCATTCGACCGATAGACAGATTTTTGAGATTTAAGTGAGGTGTGCAGAATGACCCCACTGTGTAATCACATTCAAGGTGTTCATAATAATGGAGTTTGGACAAGATCCTTCATAGTCAAGCAGCAATGCTGACGAATTGCAATGACTGATGAAACAGAGAAGGCTGGTGTTATCGGAAACGCCTGGATATTATTCCGACTCGTACGACGCAAGAGGGTAAGAAAAGTATCTGCGAATGAGACTACATTGGGCGGAAAATGGACAGTTAATTTACCATCTGATTTTTTGCGCTGTCATTACTGCTTGTCCAATCAATTAGACACTCTTAAGGGACCAGGACTTACGATAGCAAAAAGCTCCACGTGGACTAACGGCTTTGATAGGAGAACCGGGTGCCCGGATCCAATGGCTGTTCAGGTTGCATGATGGACAGTAGCAATTAACTTTGTGTTTCGTTGGGTGGCCTAATTAAGCTCAATATGCAGCACTAAAGAGATGTGATTAGGCAGGCGGCTGACAAGTTTCTCACTTCCTAAACCGCTACAATAAGTCGCGTGATGACCATCGGGATGTTAACAATGAGGCCATCGCCTCTGGTCAAAACAACCGTTTGAACAGTGTAACTGTTTAGTGAATGAGTTGTAGAGTAGCTCAAAATAGTAAGTTAGCAGACCTGTGAAGATTAAACAGTAGCCATCCAGTGAGAAGCGTCAATACATGTTGCCTTGTTGTTTCTGGTTGAATGCAGCCATCAAAGTGTGGGAGACCCGGTTAAAAAGGAAGGACAGTGTCATCCCACAACATACATCTTCTGATATTCTTATTTGGAATTAGAAAAAGAAATGAATGTTTTAAAAAAGGAGTAAGATTGAAGTTATTTATTAATCTCGAATAATGTTTATATTTCAGTTAAGGATTATCGACTTGAATGATTAGATGATAGCAAGACTTCGTTATCAGCAAAAAACTGGAAATGGCGAGTTAAATACCACCTGGACGTTTCTAGCAAAGTTGGGCAAAACGGAGACTTACTCATCGGTAAAGTGACAATTAGATACATCCGCAAATACAGCAGTCTTCAACTTCGCCCGTTTAGATCGGTCAAATGTCAAAATCAGATATCCCTCAGGTACTGACTCGTCCGAATTGGAAGATGCGGGACAGGAAGAACTGGAATCAGCGGATTCCGTGACGTGAGTAAAAAGATGGATGTTATCGCGCACACCCATCGTGTCCTTTAGCTGAGCGAAGGAAGAAGGCACATTACGTGAAGCGTAAAAGAAGTGAATATCCTATTAAAAGGATAGACTAAACAAAACCTGGAGTAAGAAAAACATGCAAGTAACGGACAAAGAGAAAGCAAAAAAGATCGCGCATAAGCGGAGAATGAGCGGAAATCAGAAGTGTCCGGTACACACAGAACGATAGTGACTGCCAATTTATCAAATAAGTTGCAATGAAGAGTGCGTTGAAATCTCCGAAATAAGTTGAAGGATTTCGCTTTGGTAAATAATGCTCTATTAGAAAGAATGCAAAGGCTCTGCTTGAGTTATCTCACGATCCGCAAGCCAACAAGTGAAATATGGATGAATCCAACAGTTATAAGGCATGTCAACATGATGGCAAAGACAAACGACAGTGAAACGGAAGGAAAAGCACTAAGAGACCAGAGAAGCCACTGAAACACCAGGAAAAACAATCACACCGCCAACTACAAACAGTGCGAGTGCGAAGCAATACACGTCAGTTACGCAGGAATAGTCGAATAACGCGATAGTTTTGCAGATCATAGGATTGGACGAAATCAATTAAACATTCCTCAACTCGCGTCATCTGAGTACAAAGTCGTCCAGGAGAGGCAAATTGAGCTGTTCCCGAAAGTACTAAAACAAACGGTTCAGAATGCGTCACCTAACCAGTAAAGTTTGCTAACGGGCAAATGCTAGGGACTAGTGGCAGTTACGGGCGACTCACACCTCCACGTTTCAGGTCCTCTGGGTCTACCAAGAGTCCTCATCAGGCAGCAAACCGTTCTCGCTAGTCTGATGTACTTCCAGGTTATGCTGAGCTCGTTGCTAGTCATCATAAAAACACATTAGCTGAAGGTTAGAAACACGCCTTAGCTGATGTGCTGCAATATAAAATGATACTAAAATAACAGTACAAAAAATATAAAAATCAAGTAATGTAACGTTAAAGGTCATATTATTAATCTGCTATAAGATTGTGGTTGGAGGCAGAACCTAAAGGAGAAGGGGACAAAGAAAATCACAGCACAAAGGCCATTGGGGCCGGCTCCTAGCCATATCAACAAGTGTGTCCTACCGAACATGTTTATAGTCCTTCGGACCACAGCCGGGCAGTCGGGATGTACTAATCGAAGCCAATTTCGAAGTGAGGGTTCTCATTCCTGCTGAGTAAGTCATCGTGTGGCATCCCCTCCTATCCTATCCAGACCTAGGGCGCGCAAACCACTCAGGTCGCAGGAGTCAGTGGGCTGGCATGCGCAACACGTGACCCAGCAATCGGACCCTGGTGGGTGATTTAATGGCACTGACCGGTTCGTTCACTCTTCCAGCACCAAATACACGAAAACGAACATATCCATTGAGCACGCAGTGCTCCCACGAGACATGAACTATGCTGCGAAGGCAGCGTGGTCGAACCTAGCTAACCTCTTTATGTCTGTCGACCTGATGGGTCAGATTTCACAACCATACAGAAGGGTAGAAGGGACGGCTGCATTATCAATCGCTCTTGAGGGAGGGAGTGATATCGCGCCGGCACTACAGGTGATGATCGGCAACAGAACCTCGAGCGTTCGTTATACGGTTCGTGACCTCATTTTCAACCCCACGGGTGCTAATATAGCTGCCCAAGTACTTGAATTCCTAAACGATTTCCAGCTGATCACCAGAGTCAGCACAGGAGTAGGTCACTGTCAAATCTAGAGAAAAACTGCATTTGGAGAAAGCAAAGCATAACCCAAAACAATTGACGGCCAGTGCTAATCTGTCCAGTGCCGCTTGGCACCTTCGGGTGCTGTCACAGAGCAGGGCAATGTCGGCAGCAGAATCAAGAAGTTAAGAAGTCCCTCAACAGGAAGCAGCCCCACATCTTGTAAGTCGTGCACAGTGAACGCTGTTTCCAAGGCATCGTCAATGGTGAAGTTGAAGAGGAAAGGTGACAGTGGGCAACCCTGTCACATACCTGGAAATACTGAAAGGCGGCGACATTTTGCCATATACCCTCACTCTGCCAGAATCATGCGCGTACAGTGCAGTGATGATGCCTACGTATCTTTCGAGCACACCTTTCCTAAGCAGACAGTCCCAAAGGGCACATCGATCCACCGAATCGAAGGCGTCTTTATGACGAGAAACACGACTATGGTGGGCTGCCAATAAATATGGTGATGCTCCAACAATTGACGTAAAGATGTGGTTGATTCAGCCTCCAGTTCGATGAAGTAGAGCGCCAGTCAGTCTGTGCTGAACGATCGATCACATTGCGATAAGTTACCGATGGAGAGGCAGCATCCAGAACTGTCGCTCGATTTGGAGCACATGTGTGGACACCGATCATGCACTTGTATGTGCTGACCTGCGGATGCGCTTTGCCGGACGACCACGACGACGCTGTGACCGCAGTGACACCAGCCAACTGACAAAACTAGCTGTTCTGAATGCGTATCGAAGTACGCTGACATGCAAGTTGAGTAAGCGCTTACTGGAGACAATTGATGGTCATGGTCACATGTTCGCTAGACCTTACTAACAGCAGGCAAATACTCACGTGGTATGTCTAATAGCCAATATGGATACTGGGTCTCTTCGCGGTCTCTGGAATTTATCGACGCTCGCCGGCATATTCCGGCTGGAAGCGAACACAATTAAACCCGCAAAGAGCTCCGGGCAAGACTCCGTGCCAGCCTGAAGGGAGGCCGCGAATCTTGGTGGTCTCATCGTGCGTCAGAGATGGAAGTGACCGCTGCCCTTGGCAACCATTGTAAGTAATTCCGGCCGATACGGGCATCGGGTAGCAGGAGACCTGGTGTTAGTGAAACAATTTGTGACGAAAGTGGACAACCTCTCCACAACTTGTCAAAACGTTTGGAACGCTGGGCTGAGCAATTAAATCGGCCGGAAATGTTCGATTCTTCGAAGGCCAGTGATCACCCTGCTCCGTGGGCTGTCCCTTTGGATCCACCCTTCTCGCTCAGAAGTCGAATGTGAGATCGGACTGTTGAAGGTAAATAATGCCGCGGGACCAGATGATCTTCCTCCAGCCCTCTTCAAATTCGGAGGCTCTACTCTTGTTGATGCTTTACACGAATTACTGGTGAAACTGTTGGAGCAGGAGACTGTCCCAACCGACTGGAGCCGCTCCGTTATTGTTCCCACCTTCAAAGGAGGCTCGCGTTCGGAATGCGGCAATCACAGAGGAATCAGTCTGATCTCCATCGCCTCCATAATTCTTCACATACTGACTGGCGCTCGTGAAAGCCAGGTTCGTGAGGAGCAAGCCGGGTTTCGTCGTGGTCTTGTCTGCATCGACCACATCTTCACCTTGCGTCAGTTGTTGGAGCACTATCACACGTATTGGCGGCCCACCGTTGTCGTGTACCTCGACATCAAAGGTGCCTTCAATTCGGTTGATCGATGTGCTCTTTGGAAATGTCTGCTCAGGAAAGGTGTGTCCGAGAAATATGTAAATATTATCCAAGAAGTATATGCGCGTAGCTCAGGTGAAGTGAGGGCTTACGGCAAGCTGTCGTCGCCCTCTAATATCTCCAGCGGTGTGAGACAAGGATGTCCGCTGTCACCTTTCTTCTTCAAGTTCGCTATTGATAAAGTCATGGAGATTGTATTTACAGGACATTACTTGGAAGGTGTGGAGCTACTCCCAGGAGAACGACTTCTTGACTTGGAGTATGCAGACAACATTGCCCTCATCTGTGACAGCTCACAAACGTGCCAAGCAGTGCTGGATAGATTAGCACTGGCTGCCAGCCGCTTCGGGATTTGCTTTGCACCATCGAAGTGCAAAGCGTTCCTCCAAGATTAGCACGGATCGCCTCCTGCGCTGACCCTTGATGGGGATCAGCTAGAAGTCGTTCAGAAATTCAATTACCTTGGAAGTTGTATCAGCGCCCTTGGGATCGAAGACGAAATCACGAACCGTATAGCGAAAGCTCGAAGTGCTTTTCCTAACCTTCGCCACCTATGGCGGCGGCGCGACATCACTCTCACCCTGAAGGGTAGAATGTACAATGCAGCGGTACGTTCTACCCTACTGTACGGTTGCGAAACCTGGCCCCTAAGATCGGCAGACATGAAGAGGCTAGTTACGTTCGACCATCGGTGCCTTCGCAGTTTGGCTCACATCTGGTGGGAACACCGCGTGAGTAACGAGCGTGTTCGACGCATTGTTTACGGCACAGGAAAAGGAACTGAACCGCTCAGCACCGTCATTACATGCACCAGGCTCCGATGGCTGGGCCACGTGTTGCGCATGCCAGCCCACCGACTTCCACGACGTGCGTTGTTTGCTCACCGCGGATGTGGATGGAAGAGGAGAGGTGGCCAAACGATGGCTTGGTCCAGAGTAATGAAGGCCCTCACTTCTGTGCTGGCCTCGGTTGGGGTGTCACGGCTCCCTGGTTGGGGTCCAAAAGACAATGAACACGTTGGGCTGGATACACTTGCTGACATGGCAAGGAGCCGACCTCAGTGGCGTACCTGCTGTGAGTTTATTTGTCCTTCCCCATCCCTTTTAGCTTCCCCCTCCACCTACAATCTCATTTCGTAGCGTAAACATAATAATTTTTCTTTTTGCCTAGTAGCCGGCTGGTAGCATACCGGAACGATGCCTATCCGTTGCTGGTAGCTCAGCTGGCATGCAACTTTTGTATTTATTTTCCTTTTTCATTTATGTATTGCGGCACAGTAGCTGAGGTGTTTCCCACCTCTAGCTGATGTGTATAATGATGATGATGACAGGCGCAAGCTGGTGCTCGAGAGAAACAGACGATTGTCTTCGTACAGTGTGAGAAATTCGCTCCCCATTATCTGAGTCGATCTCACGGAGCGCATGGTGACTAACAAGGCTATTTCGCATGATAATGACTGACCCGTGCGTTGAGATTCTTAACAAGGACAACAATAACGGGTTTGCAAGGTCTGCTCAATAGGTGATGAAGTTCATGACAGAAGTCGTCCAGAACCGAATCGCAACTGCC